AGCCTTGTGTACTCAAGGATTGGGTGATCCGGAAATTTAATACATAATAATAATAATAATAACAACAACAAGAGGGCTCTTTTTGTAGCAGGAACTCCTTTGCATGCTGGGTATTCCTTTAATTCGATTAGCCAGTACCCCCTAAGACATTTAAATGCCCCCCTGACTGAAAAAATCCTGGCTACGGGCCTGGTTCTATGCTCTACAGAGAGCAATCTGCCGGTGATCCGGCTGTCCTTGGCCAGAGCCGGGACTCCCACCTGGTGGGACTCCCTGCCAACTTCCTTCAGGGCCCTGCGGGACTTAATGCAATTCCGGAGGGCCTGGAAGGCAGAGATGTTCCGCCAGGCGTTTGGGTGGAGGACAGCGGCGGTTTCCCCATCACAGCCGACATCCTCTTTTCCTCCACTCTGCCCGCTTCAGCCTCCTCCCTAACCTGCCCGCTAGATAGAAGAACAATGCAGAGTAGGTTTTGGATCAAATTATGGACGCCATCTGGAGACGATGAAATGAGGACTAACTGATCGTCGATTTTAATATGTCTTTTTATATTGTTTTTTACTTCTTGTAAATCGCCCAGAGCCTTGTGTACTCAAGGATTGGGTGATCCGGAAATTTAATACATAATAATAATAATAATAACAACAACAAGAGGGCTCTTTTTGTAGCAGGAACTCCTTTGCATATTAGGCGACACACCCCTCATGTAGCCAGTCATCCAAGAGCTTACAGTAGTCCCTGTAAGAAGAGCTCTGAAAGCTCTTGGAGGATTGGCTACATTAGGGGGGGGGTCGCCTAACATGCAAAGGAGTACCTGCAACAAAACGACCCCTGACACACCCCTAATGTAGCCAATCCTCCAAGAGCTTACAGTAGCCCCTGTAAGAAGAGCTCTGTAACCTCTTGGAGGATTGGCTACATTAGGGGGCGTGTCACCTAACATGCAAAGGAGTTCCTGCTACAAAAAGAGCCCTGCGAGAGATCAGTTCTGCTGGAGAAAAGGGCCGCTTTAGAAGGTGGACCTTCCGGCATTCTCCTCCGCTGAGGTCCCTCCCCTCCCCAAACCCCACCCCCCTCAGGGTTCCCCCTCCAAGTATTTCCAGACCCAGAGCTGGCGACCCCACTGGACAACCGATTCCACCACTGAACTGCCCTTATTGTTCAACAGTTTCTCCCAATAGCCTGCCGATACCTCGCCCCCTACAAGTTAAACCCATTCTTATGAGACCTATCCTCCGCTACCAGCCGAAATAGCGCCTTGATGTCCTCTGAATGACAGCCCGGGAGCCGAAATTCAGCAAGGCTCTCTGCCGGGGGCGGCCCTGAACTGCTGCTGCGGCATTGTTCAAACAGCTTGCAGAGCCGGCAGACCGAACGCCGCATCCGCTCGATCATCATTTTCAATTGATATTTCGTTATAGCTGTAAACAAAGATTAACATCTGGGAATGTGCCGCCTCTCGGGAATCGACCCAACTCGTTTTCGTCTCCTTCGATAAAACAAACAAATGCTCACACTGCAAGGAAAGGTGCAGCTTTACAAATATATTAATGAGAACTGGAATAGAATAATTGGTGTTCCCATAGCACTTTGAACACTCTACAATCCTTCACGGGCATTGAAACTGGAATATAATAATCGGTGTTCCCATAGCACTTTGAACACTCTACAATCCTTCACGGACATTGTGCAACAAACCCAGTGGGTTGCGCTGAGAGCCAGCATGGTGTCGTGTTTACCGAAACAGTCTAGGGCTGGGAAGACGTAAGTTCAAGTCCCCATTCTGTCATACGTCTCACTGGATGATCTTGGGCCACTGACTCCCTCTCAGTCTAGTCTACTTCACAGGGTTGTTGTGAGAATAAAATGGATGACAGAAGAGGTATATATGCCATGGCTACTGAGAGCTCCTTTTAAAAGTGGTAGGATAAAGATGCCTATGTTAGAAAGCCAGCATGGTGTAGTAGTTAAGAGTGGCAGATTCTAATCTGGGATAACCGAGTTTGATTCCCCACTCCTCCACATGCAGCTGCTGGTGTGACCTTGGGTCAGTCACAAGTTCTTTCAGAGTTGTTCTCTCAAAAGCAGTCCTCAGAAGAGCTCTCTCAGCCCCACCTGCCTCACAGGGTGTCTGTCGTGGGGAGGGGAAGGGAAAGGAGTTTGTAAGCCGCTCTGAGACTCCGAGTGAAGGGCGGGGTTATAGATCCAATCACTTCCTCTTCTTCCTTATGCCACCGGACAATATTTATTTTATTGATTACTTTGTTTCATATCCCGCCCTTCCCGCAAGTGGGCTCAGGGCGACTCACAACAATAAAGCCAATACAATCTTAAAACAATTCGATCAGATAATCAAATCAACAGAATAAAACCCATTTAAAACATTTAAAGTGGGCAGCGCAGTATATTCATTTTCACTTTGTGCAGCCAGGAAATGAGTGGGCCGATGCCGAGCCGTAACGATCTCATGCAACAGCAACGGGGAGGCCAGCTGGTAGATGCCCGCTGCCTCAGCCACAGGCCTGGCGGAAGAGCTCCGTTTTGCAGGGACAAAGGGAAGTGTGACCTGGCTTTTACTAATGACTCAGCCCTAGGCTTGCCAGCCTCCAAGTGACGCCTCCGACCTCCAGGAGATCTCCCAGAATTACAACCAGGGACTCTTTTTGTAGAAAAAGCCCAGCAGGAACTCATTAGCATAATAGGCCACACCCAAAAGCAGGAACTCATTAGCATATTGTGCCACATCCCTGACAGCACAGCTCATTAGCACATTAGGCCACACCCACATGTTACCAGAAGTGTGGTCATCCAGCCACACCCACCTTTTGCTTCTTATTCTGTTTACCTTGTTTATTGTCAAAACCCAGGGCCTTTTTTGTAGTAGGAACTCCTTTGCATGTTAGGCCACACACCCCTAATGTAGCCAATCCTAATGAGTTTCTGCTGTTGGGTGTGGCCTATTATGCTAATGAGTTCCTGCTGGGTGTGGCTAATTTGGGAGCCAGCCGGAACTCCGTTCCTGTGCGTTCCTGCCCAAAAACAGCCCTGATTGCAACTGTCCTCCAGACAGGCCCGTAGCTAATGCAGGGCCCAAGTGGCCCGGCCCCCTAATGTTTCTTCCAAGGCCCCCAACCTGAGCCTTGGCTTCTCCTCCCCCTGAGCTCCACAGTAGCTACGTGCCTGTCGGTGAAACAGGGGCTGCCTAGGATCGGAGGTCCAATCTCACAAGACCATCTTCACTTAAGAGTGAGTTTTTCTCCAAAGTTCTGCAACCAGGGAGAGGCGGGTGACTCTCCCCATGTTTGCAGAAGGAAGAGGAGATCCTATGTGCTGGGGGAGGTGTGTGTGTTGTGTGACTGACAACTTGGGAAGACAAGGCACAGGATTCCAGCTGTGCACTCTGCAGCTCTGAAGTCCACTGGCTTGCAATTAGTCGATCGGCCCCATCGGAACCAGCACGGTCCAGGGCAGGGAGGAAAGAATGCGCGTAGCTCCATGCGGACATATAACGGCTATCCCCCTGAGCTAAAAATTGCCCCCCAGCAAAAAGTTGCTAGCTACAGGGCTGCCTCCGGACATCTGGGATTTGTTCGTGTGGAGAAAATGGCTACTTTGGAAAGTGGGCTCTATGACGTTATACCCTCCAGACATCCCTCCCCCAACCCCACCCCCCCCAGGGATTTCCCAAACAGGAGTTGGTCACCCTATTCAGCACTCTGGGCCTTTCCCCCAAGGCCACAATTGCTAATAGCTTCAGGACCTCTTCAGGCAATGCATAATTTACTAATGGACTCCACTACCAAAGACGTCATGGTGGCCACTACCTTAAATAGCTTTTTTAAAAGGATTCAATCCATCCATAGGACTCGGCCCTGAGAGCTTAAATAGCACTTCCCTGGGTAGCCCTCACGTGCCTAAGATTTGAGACCTGCCAGCAGCACTTTACTTTATGGGTTGGAAACAGGGGTCATTTCCTGCGGGAGCGCACAGGAACGGAGCTCCGGCAGTAAGGAGCCCAAGGGCTGGGCACATGCAACAAGCCCTGCCTCCTGCTCCCAGCAGCACTCAGTTGGGCCACATGGAGCAAGAAGGAGCCAGGTAAGTTGCAGAGCCAGCCCACCTTCAGGTACAAGCTCTCCCTCTTCTGTGAGAACAGATCTGCGCGTTCCCCCCCCAATAGCTAGCAATCCAAAACAGTCCAGTGGAGCCTGAGCAGTGGGTGTGGCCTTCTGACACACTTCTGATGATGTCAGGGGGTGTGGCATAGGCAAATAAGTTATGCTAATGAGTTATGCTAATGAGCTCCTTCACCTCTTTCTCTACGAAATGATCCCTGGTTGGAAAGAAATGGCGGACTTCCATGGCCCATCCAAGCCGGCTGTCTCCCCTCCGGGCTGAGCATGCGAAGCACCATGACGGCCTCTGCTTACCAGGTTACCGATGTTGAGGACTTCCTCGAAGTCTTTCGTCATCTTGTAATGGTCCATGGCCATGAAGAGGGTGTTCAGCACGATGCAAAGGGTGATCGTGAGGTCGCTGAAGGGATCCATGATGACGAACTTGACTTTCTGCTTGATCAGCAGCCACAGCGGGCAACAGTCCCAGATGAGAAACTTCACAGCAAAGCGGTTCCAGCAGGGGGGGCACTTCTGTTGAGATTCTTCAAGCTCTAGGTGAGAAGAAGCACATGACACACCGGCCAGGGGAAGCCCAGGATAAGAAAGGAAAGTCATGCATCCACTCTGTCTGTGGAAGGATCTTTTCCATCAATAAGGTCAGATATAACTACATTTGGCTGCATATTTGTATACCTGTGTATAGGGATGTGCATTCGGTTTGTCAAACAGGTTGCCCCCATCCCCTCGATTGTTCTCTATGGTGGTGGTGGTGGTGGGGGAGTTACTTTTTTCCCACCATAGAGAAACAATGGAGGGAATGGGGGCAACCTGTTTGGGGGCCCGTAGAATTGGACCCCCTGGTTCAATGTTCTTGAAACTTGGTGGGTATCTTGGGGAGAGGCTACAGCAGCTATCCTGAGAGTTTGGACCCTCTCCCTCAAACCCCCTCCCCTCCAGCCCCCAGAATATACCCTATGTTTTCGCCATTGACTTCAATGGCCCATAGGATATAATGGGGCCGAATGGCCACCAAAATTCAGCGGCAATTCGGCGGCAAGCCAATTGAGATCAGAGAATCTGAATCGGCCTGCAGCAGCCCGAAAGGGGCCCAAATGGGCCATTTTCGGGGGTGCATTCGGTTTAGACAAACCAAGTGCACATCCCTATGCAGGAGTCTTTCTGCCGGCCGAAATTGATTCTGCCCGATTCTGCCGAATCCAAATCAGGCCGAATTTTTTTAAAAAAAATTGCACACCCCTACCTGTGTACCTCACTGCAGCCAACTGGGGCTACTAGCATTCGTTTCTACAGTGCTGCTGATACTTAACTAGCTAGCAGTAACAGATCACACATTTATATTCTCTTTTAACCAGTATGGGTGCTTGTTCTGATGCACTTACGGTGCATAGACTTTTAAGTGATCTCAGCCCGGACATTACAGAGAAGGTAGCTAAGTTTCTCTCCTTGGCTTTAAAGCTGCGCCTAAGGTTCTTTTAGATTTTTATATGTGTGCTTTCAACTGGTTTTAAAATGTATAAATGGTATTGATATTTTATGCCAATAAAGGCTGACTTGACTTGTAGTATTAATATGGGCAAAGAGCCATGGCTTGGAGATAGAGCTTATCCTTTGCATGAACAAAGTCTACAGCTGAAGCGATTGCATCTTCAGTTAAAAGGCAGCAGGGCTGAGAATAGGATTGCCAGATCCTGGCAACCAGTGGCGGATGGGGGGGCTTACCAGGAGTGGGAGGGAAGCCGAGGTTATGTCATCAGCGATGTCACTTCTGGCATGTACCAGAAGTGACATAATCTTTTTTGGATGTCACATCAGGGCCAAAACTCTATGGTGAAAATGACCTCTACCATAGAGTTTTTACCCATATACCCAGGGCTTTTTTTGTAGAAAAAGCCCAGCAGGAACTCATTAGCATAATAGGCCACACCCCTGATAGCACAACTCATTAGCATATTAGGCCATACCCACATACCTTCCCTTGGCTTGCCTGGGTGCACCGTGCCTGCAGGGACTCCGGCCGGCCCTTGCCTGGGAGCCCCGCAGCTGCAGGAAGCCCAAGCAAGCTCCCCCGGAAGGGAAGGCAGTTTATACTGCCTTCCCTTGGCTTGCCTGGGTGCCCCACAGCTGTGGGGAGCCCGGGCAAGCTGGCCCTTGGACCGGCACGGGGAGGCACTTAAATGCCTCCCCGGTGCTTGCAGGCCCCCCCCTGGCCCGCCCGCCTCGGAGTCGTCGGGGAGGGGTCGCTCTCCAGGCCTTCCCTCTGTAGCCAGGCACGCAGAGGTTTGGCCTGTAGTGGGCGTGGCCAACTCTGGAGCCAGCCGGAACTCCGTTCCTGTGCGTTCCTGCCCCAAAATAGCCCTGCACATACCAAAGCATCACCATGACATCACTGACATATCGATATCACTGCTAGCACATGCCAGAAGTGCCATTGCCATGCCGTGGGCAACACAGCCTGGGCTGCCTTCCTGTTCCCGGTAAGCCCCACTTTCAGTCAGCTGATCGTGGCCTGGGGGGGCCTGGCAGCAAGGGATCCCGTGCCTTCGGGGCTGGAAACCCTAGCTCAGAAAGACCATGGAGAGTCACTGCCTTTCAGAGGAGACAACACTGGGCACCCTGTGGATAGACCCATGTTTTAACACCCGGGTAAGAACCGTGTGTGATGCTATGGAGGTGGGTTTGGATCTCATCCCCCAACATGCAATTTCATTGCAAAAAAAGAAAAAAGCCACAGGGATTGGGATGACACAGATCTTGGCTGCAAAGGGTTGCCAGGTCTGGGTTGGAAAACACCTGGAGGCTTTGGGGGTGTATCCAGGAGAGGGCGGGGTTTGGGGAGGGGAGGGGAGGGGCCTCAGCATAGTACAATGCCACAGAGTCCACCCTTGGATTGCCAGCCTCCAGGTGGGGCCTGGAGATCTCCTGCTTTTACCACTGATCCCCAGCCGACAGAGATCAGCTCCCCTGGAGAAAATGGCTGCTTTGAAGGGTGGACGCTATGGCATTGTACTATGCTGAGGCCCCTCCCCTCCCCTAACCACGCCTTGGCTCCACCCCCAAAGTCTCCAGGTATTTTCCAATCCAGACTTGGCAACCCTAGTCCACCCTCCAAAGCAGCCATCTTCTCCAGGGGAGCTGATCTCTGTCAGCTGGAGATCAGTTGCCAAAGCGGGAGATACCCAGGCCCCACCTGGAGGCTGGCAACCCTAGGGCTGCCAAATGTCGGAAAGGGTTGTTAAAGTTTATCTGATCTCAATGGGGGGATTCCCCATTCCATCCCCAGCCTGCTTTATGCCTTGATGGGAGAAGGGGAAGGCAGGTTCCCATATGGTCTGGTTGGGCAGGGACATTTTTGTTTGGAGAGATGCTGCAAGAGACAGAGTTCAGCCCCTCTTCGCCAGCACTGCAGCCCCAAACCACATCACACCCCCAGGTCTGTTTTTAAGCAGACTGTTGGGAGGGATGAATATTATGGTCACACACATTCCTACTAGCAGCACATGGGCCCAAAACTCTGATTTGTATACTATCGGGCCGGGGCTCCCAACCCTTTTGAGTCTGTGGGCACTTTTAGAGTTCTGACACAGCATGGTGGACGCTGCCACAGAATGGCTGCCACAAAAGAATGGCCACAGGAGGCGGAGCCAAAATGGCTGCCGCAGCTGATCTTTGAAAAAAAATTCAAGATCACAGTGAAGATCCTTGGGCTGCAGTAGCCTCTGCTGCCAAAGCAACATTTTAAAAAAATCTGCACAGCCAATCAGAAGCCTTGCTGGGCAAAAGCCACATGAGGCCCCGCCCACCTTCTAAAAACACTTGGCAGGTGCCAGGAAAGGTGTTGGCGGACACCTTGGCGCCCCGGGCACCCTGTTGGTGACCCGTATTCTCGGGCAATGTTACAAGGAACAATCAAAGGTGCCCTCGTTTGACGATTTTCTATTTTCAGAGGCCAAACAGATGCTGCTTGCTTCTCCATCCCAGCTGGTACAAGGGCTCTTTTTGTAGCAGGTACTCATTTGCATATTAAGCGACACGCCCCTAATGTAGCCAATACTCCAAGAGCTTACAGTAGCTCCTGTAAGGAGAGCTCTGTAAGCTCTTGGAGGATTGGCTACGTTAGGGGTGTGTGGCCTAATATGCAAAGGAGTTCCTGCTACAAAAAGAGCCCGGGGACCATCTCCCACAATCCATCTTTTTAAAGTCCAGAGGCTGTTTGGGCTTTTCCATCCTGTCCTGAAGCATCTCTGTCTCTCCCCTCCCCTCTTTCTTTTACACTGAAGGAAAGTTCTGGGGAACATGAAAGTTTGCCCACAACTGACGCTCTACTAGTAAAGGCAAAGGTTTCCCTTGCTCAAAAGCCAGTCGAATCCGACTCTAGGGGGCAGTGCTCATCTCCGTTTCCAAGCCGAAGAGCCAGCGCTGTCTGAAGACGTTTCCATGGTCATGTGGCCGGCATGACTAGACGCCGAGGCGCACGGAACGCTGTGACCTTCCCACCGAAGCGGTCCCTATTTATCTACTTGCAATGTCTTGCTTTCAAAACTGCTAGGTTGGCAGGAGCTCCCTCCATCAAGCGGCACTTGGGTTTTGAACTGCCGAGCTACTGATTGTGCGGTCTGCAGTTCAGCATCTTAACCTTTGACCCATCATGGCCCCTAGGTCCCCATCAAAAGCAACATGTTCCTGTTGCATCTGACACAGAAAAAAAATTCAAGATCAATTAAAACAAACAAGGGTCTTGCGGAAGCGTAAAGACTCTCTTCTCTTTTTTTTTTGTTCTAGCATAAGTTTTGCAGACTGTTGTATGCGTGTAGTGGGTCCCAACTAGGTGTAGGAATGCCCGCCTCCAGGTGGGACTTGGGCAGTGTTCCCTCTAGGCTGAGTGGGTGTGAGCCAGCTCACAGTTTTTTAGCCTCCGGCTCACACATTTTTCTCTTCGCTCAGGGAGGAGGGCTCCAGAGCAAACTGATTTATGCAGGAGCCAAATCGCTCGCTCGCAACTTTAATACCAGTAGCTCACAAAGTCGAATTTTTGCTCACAAGACTCCACAGCTTAGAGGGAACATTGGCACTTGGGGATATCCTGGAACTAGAGCTTGCCTGTACACTACAGAGATCAGTTCCCGTGGAGGAAATGGATGCTTCGGAGGGTGGGCTCTATGGAATCGTCCCCCACTGAGGTCCCTGCCTTCCCCAGACTCCACCCCCAAATCTCCAGGAGTTTCCGAACCCGGATCTGGCAACACTATTAGACAGACATATACGAGTTATGAAGGGGAAAATATCGGTAAGTGGCAGGTTCAGAAGGCCATGAAATGCAGGAAGTACAGTACGGGAGGTAATTATGTAAAATCCAAATGTAATCAAGAAAAGTACAGGGACCCCTTCACAATCGCAGTAATTGGCAATCTCTCTAGTTTTTTCCTAAGCGACTGAACACCAATAATGACAGAGAAATCCCCAGATCGGTTTCTGGCAAGTCGTATAAAACAGTTTGTGCTAAAATGGAATTCAGCCTTCTCCAAATGACCTTGCTTCTTACCCCTTGGCCAGAACTGGCAGCATAGCGTCACAGAGGGTTAAAAGAAAATACACTTGTGTCAGCTGTATGTCTCTTTCTTACTAGCCTTAACTTTGGCACCTCATGGTGGTCACGACAGACCGTCCTTGTTAAAGGCGACCTTCCACGGAAACATGAGGGCCCTTGCTGTTTCCTGCTTTGACACAGTTAAAACAAGACTTCACCAGGGGCTGACTTCGTTTTGTCTTTGCAAAGTGCGGGGTCACAGATCATTCACGTAAGCTCTCAAAAACTGGAGCAGACAAGAATGTCTCCTTTTCGGTTCTCTGCTCCACATAAGGTGGCAGAAGGCTGACAGGGTAAAATGGACGGACCGTATTTGCTTCGGAGAGTCAGTGGAGGACTCTCCCCACTGGGAAAGAGGGGTGAGGGCGTGGTGCAGTGCGGCCGTGGACCATGGCACCAAAAAAATAATAAAATAAGGATTTTTCAAGGGGCCTGGGCTGGATGGGGAGTTAGGGGGTGCTTGGTGGTAAGTCAGGGGGCCAGGCCCCGAGAGGCCCCACTGTAGATACGGGCCTGGGGGCAAGAGAGAATAAAGCCAGCACGGAGGAGGAGGAGAAGGAGATTGGATTTATACCCCGCCCTTCACTCGGAGTCTCAGAGTGGCTTCCAATCTCCTTTCCCTTCCTCTCCGCACAACAGACACCCTGTGAGGTAGGTGGGGCTGAGAGAGCTCTTTGGAGGACTGCTCTTGAGAGAACAGCTCTGAAAGAACGATGCATTGCCCAAGGTCACCCAGCAGGTGCAAGTGGAGCAGTGGGGAATGAAACCCGGTTCTCCCAGTTTAGAGTCCGCGCACTTAACCCCTACACCAAGCTGTGGTGACAGCTGCAACTGAAATGTTATTTTAATCTGCACAACCAATCAGATCTCCAGTGACCAATCAGAAGCCCTGCAGGGTAAGAACCCCACCTGGCTGCAACCACTTTCTCAAAACTGTGTCGGGAGGTGGCGGGGCCCACGGGCACCGTGCTCGGGACTCCTCTCGTACAAAATGAAACAGGAAACCCGTCAGCCCAGCTCTTGGCTAGAACATTTCTGCTACTTTTCTATTTGCGGGGATATTTCCTTAATGTGAGAGGACATTAAAAGACGAGTAATTTCTTCCCACGTAGAGGCAACCATTCCATCGCTGCTTCAGACATACAACCTCAGATGAGAAATTTCAAACGAAAACGAGACACGTCAGATTTCTCCTTCTTTCAGAAAGGGAGCCACATTTGTCTGCACTAGAAGAGCTCGATTCGAGTCCGGGAGCAGTGACCAAGAAGATTTTTGGGGCAGAAGCTTTCAAGAGTCAAAGCTCCCGAAAGTTTGTATCCCGAAAATCTTGCCGGTCCCCCAGTTGCTACCAGACTCAAATCTAGCTCTCGTTCTTTCAGAGGTTCAGGCAGTCTCATACCTTCAATGTTCCACTGTGATAAAAGTGCTGCAAAATATTACTTTGATCGTATTAATAGAAGCAGCATTTCAATGCCACGGGAACAAAGGAACAGTAACAGCGGGAGAGCCACACGCTTCACATGCACAAGGTCTTAAAGTTCACTTCTAAGCGCCTCCACTCAAAAGGACTTCAGTCATAGCGGTGCCGGGAAAGACCCTGGTCTTCCCAAGACCACGGAGAGCCACTGCCGGCTGAAGGAGATGGCGCGGATCAAGACGGACCGAGGGGCTGACTCAGTATCGAATCATCTGTTCAGAATACTGAGCGGCATTTATGCAAGGATTTGCAGAGTACAAAGCATTACACATACATTCTTTCAATTTAAAGGGGGGAAACTGGAGGAGTCGAAATCGGTATGCCTGAGGCTGAGCATCAGATTTTCCATGGCATTTAAAGATGCCTTGGAAGATTCCACCAGGACTGGGGGAACTTCTTCACCCAAAGAGTGATTAACACTTGGAATTCACTGCCACGGGAAGTGGTGGCGGCTACAAGCAGGGACGGCTTCAAAAGGGAATTAGATAAGCATATGGAGCAGAGGTCCATCAGTGGCTATTAGCCACAAGGTATAGATAGGGACTCTGGGGCAAGTGATGCTCTGTCATCTTGGTGCTTGGGGGGGTCAAGTCAACAGTGGGAGAGCTTCTAATGTCCTGGCCCCACTGCTGGACCTACTGATGGCACCTGGTATTTCTGGCCACTGTGTGACACAGAGTGTTGGACTAGATGGGCCTTTGGCCTGATCCAACATTGGCATCTCTTATGTTCTCATGTTCTTAACTCGGAACTCATGCAAGACAGGAAACAGCAAAACTGAACCCCGATGGTGTTCTTGGATAGGACTGAAGGCCTTTTCGGTGCTTACAATTTTGACATTCCTAACTCATGTACCGACCCGCTCTGGATAGCCCAGGCTAGCCTGATCTTACCAGTTCTTGGAAGCTTAGCAGGATCTGCCCTGGTTCATATTTGGATGGGAGACCCATTGAGGAAGTCCCCAGTCACTACGAAGAGGCAGGGAAGGGCCAACCACCTCTGCACATCGCTTGCCTTGAAAACCTCACCGAGTTGCCGTAAATCAGTTGTGACTTGACGGTCACTTTTCACCACCAGCTTACATACCAGAAGGCCAAGCTAAGCGGGAACCGCTCAATATGCAGGGCTCTTTTTGGGCAGGAACGCACAGGAACAGAGTTCCGGCTGGCTCCCAAGTTGGCCACGCCCAGCAGGAACACATTAGCATAATAGGCCACACCCAACGGCAGAAACTCATTCGGATTGGCTACAATTAGGGGTGTGTGGCCTAACATGCAAAGAGCCCTGGGTTTTGACAACAAACAAGGTAAACAGAATAAGAAGCAAAAGTTGGGTGTGGCTGGATGACCACACTTCTGGCAACATGGGGGTGCGGCCTAATACGCAAATAAGCTGTGCTGTCAGGGGTGTGGCCTAATACGCTAATGAGTTCCTGCTGTTGGGTATGGCCTATTATGCTAATGAGTTCCCTCCCGCATTTAAGTTTGCTGATCAGACAGGCGAATCCGCCTCCCGCGCCGAAGCGGGCTCACTCCCGCAATGCTCCCGGGTTTTCCTGCCCCCGGGAAAACCAAGTATTTTCCTGGCACTTGCGCTTTGAATGCGCGATTTCGCCCATCTGGACAGCCATCGTTCGCAACGATTGCGATTAGGGCCGTATGACCGCTCTGTGCGTTTTGTTTTGTTTTTTTTAAACCTTCCGGCTTTGAGCGCTTGAGTAAACGAGCGCTCATCCTGCTTGGAGAAAAGTCCTGCCCGCCGTCCCCCGGCATAGAGGTGGTGTTGAAAGTTCCTGGGGGAGGAAGCTGTGGGGCGGGCTGTCAGGTGAGCGGGCTTTGGCCTCCGCCCCAGGAGTCCCCAAAGCTGCGGCGTTAGGAGGGAGGGAGGGAGCCCCCGGCGCCGGGGAGCGTGCCCAGCTAGACAGCAGCATCAGGCGGAAAGGAGAACTCTTTCAAAGCTGCCCTTTTCTTTTCTTTTCATTGGGCTGGTGGCTGGAAAGTTGCTGTGGGGGGGGGTAGGTGGGCAGGCGGGGAAGGCGAGCTTGTGGTTCAGGGAGGAATGTGTGAACATCCCAACTCGGGAAAAATCCCAACTCCGGTTTTAATTACATCGGGAACAAAGCGCAATCGCCTGGCCGTGTAACCACAGCCTTATTGTGCACACAAGGCTTGCTTAAAGGGGAAGGGGGGAGGGGGAAGGGGGAAGGAAAGAGTATTAGCTGCTCCGGCTCCCGTGGGGGGAAGCAGGGAGATGCCGTGGTGACCCGGAGTTGTGTCTTCAGGTGGCCCCCTCTTTCTACAGTTGTCCCATATTCTCTGGTGGTACATAGAGAGCATTCAACTTAAAGAGGGTCTCTTACCTTCCATGGCACTGGTAATGATACTGACGGCGCTCACAGCTCGCTGCCTTTGAAAATGCTCCTCTGATTGATCCACTGAAAGGCGCTGGGGAGACAAAAGGTTCTTCTTGCTCACTTCTTCCGACGGAGTAGTCTGTAGAGGCATACACATCCAGTTAACTGTATGCACACACACAGACAGACAGACATACAAACCAGTGTTTCCTCTAAGCTGAGTAAGTGTGAGCCAGCTCACAGTTTTTTAGCCGCCGGCTCACACATTTTTGTCTTCGCTCAGGAAGGAGGGCTCCAGAGCAAACTAATGTATGCGGTAGCCAAATCGCTCGCTCACAACTTTAATGCCAGTAGCTCACAAAGTAGAATTTTTGCCCACAAGACTCCACAGCTTAGAGGGAGCGCTGACACACACTGTTTCTAAAAGAGAGCAAGAGTCCAGTAGCACCTTAAAGACTAACCAAATATGTGGCAGGCAATGCTGCCTCTGAGCTGTGGAGTCTTGTGAGCAAAAATTCTACTTTGTAGCAACACACCCCTAATGTAGCCAATCCTCCGAGAGCTTACAGAACTCTTCTTACAGGGGCTACTGTAAGCTCTTGGAGGATTGGCCACATTAGGGGTGTGTCGCCCAGGGCTCTTTTTGTAGCAGGAACTTCTTTGCATATTAGGCGACACACCCCTCATGTAGCCAATCCTCCAAGAGCTTACAGAGCTCTTCTTACAGGGGTTACTGTAAGCTCTTGGAGGATTGGCTACATTAGGGGTGTGTGCCAGGGCTCTTTTTGTAGCAGGAACTTCTTTGCATATTAGGCGACACACCCCTCATGTAGCCAATCCTCCAAGAGCTTACAGAGCTCTTCTTACAGGGGTTACTGTAAGCTCTTGGAGGATTGGCTACATTAGGGGTGTGACTCAGGGCTCTTTTTGTAGCAGGAACTTCTTTGCATATTAGGCGACACACCCCTCATGCAGCCAATCCTCCAAGAGCTTACAGAGCTCTTTTTACAGGGGTTACTGTAAGCTCTTGGAGGATTGGCTACATTAGGGGTGTGTCGCCTAATATGCAAAGGAGTTCCTGCTACAGAAAGAGCCCTGGAGGTCAATCCTAAAAAGAGTTACACTGTTCAAAGCCCATTGACTTAAATATTCTCATTACATTTCTTTTAGTTTTCATAGGCTGGAAGGGGTAACATGCCCAGCTGTAAGTTCTTTGTTTTATGTCCGATTTTGGATGCTTCCCACCCTCCCGGTGACTGTACCCCCTAATCCGAGGGATCCTCTTGCCCAATTCCAATTTCATAGGAGGAAAGGGAGCCAAGTCTATAGGTAATTAAAGGCAAAAGAAATGGCAATTAAGGACAAAAACTCAGAAAGGAATGAAAGGGAGAACATTTGCTGTTATTCCAAGTCGTTCTTACAGGTCTTAATAACTCGGGCTCTTGAGCTTTTTCATTACTGACAATACACATCATGCATCGAACAGCCCTTACTAAAGCTCGGCAATAATTTAAACAAACAAAAATTAAACATTTCCCCTTCTCATACGCCCTCCCACGCAAACGTCTGTAATTCTGTCAAGGATATTAAACTTTCCTCAAAATTACTTTTCCGCTCCCGGTGAAGTCAGAGGAAAAATGTGAGTGGAAATCTGTCTCTCGCCGTTCCCTTTTACATTCCCCCCCCCAGATAACAAGCCCCGATAAACTGAATATACCGACAGTGATTATTTGCACAGCTTCAAGTGAAGCACGAAACAATTTCTATTCCCGAGTAACGAGGCAGAGGGGCATGATGGGCTAGCTTCGGCATGCTCTCGCTGGGTTGTGAACACCACATAGTGGCTTCTTAACCACAGAGGAGACAAAAGCTTCCATGGAATCGTCTCGGAGTCTTCCCGAACCCTGACGTCAGGAAACAAAGAATCCCTGCAATTCCTCCCAATTTTTTTAGGGTTGCCAGGCAACCTGCAGGAGGGTTGGGGTCAGGGACATGGTGGGATGGTGGCGCTACGAGCATGAAGATGTCACTTCCAGGGAAAACCGGAAAGTGACAAGGTAGCTCTAGGAATCACCAGAAACTCTATGGTGCCCGTATTCCACTGTCAGCTGGCTGGCATGGAGAAATGGTGGGAAGTGAGAGTGGGCTTCGGCGGTGTCCCAATGTGCTGGCAACATTCCCCGTGCACCCAGAAGTGATGTCAGCACACTGCTGGGAACACTCTGGCATTTGGCACAACTCTGTGGTTAAACCATAGAGTTTTGCACACAGGCCAGAGTGCCCCCAGGATCTGGACCAGGCATTGCACGCCGTGGCTGGTTGGCTCAGGCTGAGTTGGCTGAAGCTAAACTCAGAGAAGATGGAGGTCCTGTGTCTGAGTCGGGCAGGGCCGGCTCGAGGTGTCTCTGCGCCCTAGGCGAGGCTGCCTTATGGCACAGATGCCAACCACTTGGTGGGGCCTGGAAACCTGGAGACCTCTGGAGCCAGCCACCCTTTTGCTGCCGCCACCACCACCTCCTCCCCCCCTGCCGCCACCACCACCAAAGGGGGGGAGGAGGGGGGAGGCACAGTTTGGCACCCCATCCAGGGCCCGGCACTCTAGGCGAATGCCTAGTTCGTCTAGTGGGTGAACCGGCCCTGGAATCGGGGCGATCTGGGGTTGGGGCTGCCGCTCCCGGCCTTCGATGGGGTGCCATTGGTGCCTGCGTCGGTGGTTAGGAGCTTGGGAGTGCTCCTGGAACCCTCCTTGGCAATGGAGGCCCAGGTAGCAGCCACTGCTAAGTTGGCCTTTTATCATCTGCGGCTGGTTTGGCAGTTGGCTCCCTTCCTCAATCGCGATGACCTGGCTACAGTGATCCATGCGATTGGTCACCTTCAGGCTAGCCTATTGTAACACTCTCTACATGGGGCTGCCCTTGTCGCAAATCCGGAGGCTGCAGCTAGTGCAGAATGCCGCAGCCAGGCTACTGATGTGTCTCCCTAGAAGGGAGCACATCCGGCCAGTGATCTTTTCTTCTTCTCTTGAGAGAACAGCTCTGAGAGGACTTGTGACTGAACCAGCCGCTGCATGTGGAGGAGTGGGGAATCAAACCTGGTTCTCCCAGATTAGAGTCCATGCTCCTAACCACTACACCAAACTGGCTCTCTAGTTCATAACACTCAGGTAGCTAGTCCATGATACTCAGATAGTTCATGGCACTCAGATTGTGCCTGACTTCTATTATGAACTTCAAGACGGTCCCCAGAGGTTCATAGGAGGTCCCCAATCCAGATACAGACCCACACATGCTTCACTTCAGCAAGGTGGCTACCTCATGTGCTGTCTGTTTGATTATATCCATTTCTTTATAGACTGCCTTATGACCAAAAGACCCCAAGGTGGTTTACAACGCAATAAAAATTAATTTAAAATCTAGTAAAATACAATAAAACCAGTAGAAATCAATACAACAATAAAAAAACCAACTTGTCAGTATGTCAATTCTGCTGTTCCCCCTACCGCACCACTTCTATAAGTCTCACTCAAGGGCCCTTTGGAAAGGGCAGCTCTTCAAAGCTATCTGGAGGCAAGTCACGCCTGCCAACCGGTGCACCGGTTGGTGACAGGGACACTGTGGTGTGAGCAGAAGCACGGGCATGAAAACGACACCAGTGCCAACCAGTGCAGATGGTGTAATGATAACTTGACATGAGCAATCCAGAAAGGGCTTGTAAGGACCCTAGCTGCCACGCTTTGGACCACCTGCAGTTCCCAAACTGTCTTCAAGGAGAGCTCCACACAGAGCATGTTAACAGTAGTCAAGTCTGGATGCTACCATCCGAACTGTGTTAGTTCGAGCCCCGTGCTGGTGTGAGCAGCCAGCCTGTTGTCCCCAGCTCATCGTCCACCCAGCAATTCGAAAGCTTCGGCGAGTAGATAAAATGGGAACCACTCCTTAGAGAGGGTGGGGACACCAATCTCCCTTGTGGGAGGGTATTAGCTGATGGTCGGGACATCCTGGTCGAGGTTCGGAAAAGGTGGAAGAACTTCTCAGCTACAAAAATCCCTACAGTGGATGTTTCCGGCCAGGCAGTGGCAGTGTGGCGATTTGACATACGGGTCCTGAAGCCTGGTCGACAAAGCAGCCATTCAGAAAATGACTGAGCCGAGCCAGAAGACGTTTACACCGTGCAGTGACAGTGTGTGTAATTAAATGAATATATGTTGTTTTCCCTATTCCCTATGAACATTGTTAGTCCCCTGTCTAAAATGTGTAACTGTACATCGCTTTGAGCCCACTGGGGAAAGCGATTAATAAATTGAAAGTATTATTATTATTATATTATTATTATACCAAGTTCTTTCATTACTAAATTACTTGGATGTTACTGGCAATGCCATGCTCTGGGATCCATGCTTGCCAATATAGAGGAGGAGGAGGAGGAGAAGAAGAAGAGGAGGATGAGCAGGAGGAGATTGGATTTATACCCCACCCTTCACTTCGAGTCTGAGAGCAGCTTACAAACTCCTTTCCCTTCCCCTCCCCCACAACAGACACCCTGTGAGGGAGGTGGGGCTGAGAGAGCTCTGACAGAAACTGCTCTTTTTCAAGAACAGCTTTTATCAGAACTGCAGCTTGCCCAAGGTCATCCAGCAGGTGCAAGTGGAGGAGTGGGGAATCAAACCCGGTTCTCCCAGATTAGAGTTTGCGCACTTAACCACTACACCAAACTGGTGTAAACGTTAGGAAACCGAGGAATAAGGCAGCATATACATCCCAGGAAGGGAGGGGAGAAGAAATGACTAAATAAATAAGTTATGCCATAGGATAACTTTGCTCTTTGCTCCCCAGGCTGTCGCAAGTCAGTCCAAAGACTAAACCATTCACCCACCAACCCATACACAGCCTACTTACAAAAATCCAGATCAGGAAAAAAAAAGGTTGAGAAAACTGGAGGAGAAATAAATATACATCCAGGGATTGTGTTGGTGGACAACAGCTATCCCTCTCTCCGTTTTCTGTGATTGCAAATGTTTCCCACTTGAATTGGCCTAACCTTATGGGGACAAATACATTGTCGGGCAATTTACATGTAAATGAAGATCTATAGCACCATACAGCGAACCCCGCTTTTGAGCGCTGGCCATTAGGAATACAG